ATGATTCGTGATGAGCTTGGAGAAAATTGCTTTTGTATTCTTGTTGATGAAGCACAAGATGAATCTAAAAGAGAACAAATGGCCATTATCTTGCGATTTGTGAACAATGATGGTGTTATAATAGAACGTTTCTTTGCAATCAAAAGCGTTAGTGATACTACATCATCGAATCTAAAAAATGAGATATGTGATGTTCTTGTTCGTCACGACCTTCAGGTTAAAAAAATTAGAGGGCAAGAATATGATGGTGCTAGCAATATGCGTGGTACTTGGAACGGACTTCAAGCGTTATTTCTTAAAGAATGTCCATATGCTTACTATATCCACTGTTTTGCTCATCGACTACAACTGACATTGGTTTCTGCAGCCAAGGATGTGATTTGTATTTGGAAATTTTTTTCTCATTTGGACAATATTGTTAATATTATTACTTCTTCTCCTAAGCGCATTAATGCGTTACAAACTGCTCAAAGAAGGGAGCTTGAGGATATGTTGGCTAGTGGAGAACGACAATCTGGAAGTGGGATCAATCAAATTGGTAATTTGCAAAAATCAGGCTCTACTCGTTGGAGTTCACATTATGAATCGGTAAAGAGTTTGATAGATATGTACGCTGCAACTTGCAAGGTACTTGAGTATCTTATTGTTCATTCTCCAAATGGAAGATCTCGTGCTGAGGTTCATGGTGTTTATGAAACCATTAAAAGCTTTGAATTTGTATTCTCATTACATTTAATGCATAAAATTTTGGGATTCAGCGACATATTTTGTCAAGCTCTTCAAAAAAAATCTCAAGACATCCCGACTGCTATCAGATTTGTCTCCACTACAAAAGGTCTCCTTCAAGAATTTAGACAAGATGGTTGGGAGGAATTTCTTAATGCGGTGAAAACTTTCTGTTTAAGAAATGATGTTGATATACCCGACCTAAACTTGTTTTATAAGATTGGTCGTCCTCGTGAAGAAGTTACGCTTGAGCATCATTACCACTTTAATGTTTTTAATGAAGCCATAGATTTCCAACTGATGGAGTTAAATACAAGATTTAATGAACTATCAGTAGAACTCCTTTCTCTCATTGTTGCTTTGGATCCTCAAAATTCTTTTGAATCATTCAATGGGGATGATATTTGCAAGCTTGCAGAGAAGTTTTATCCTTGTGATTTTTCACAGCAAGAGCTTCATTCTTTGAGGTTTGAGTTGAAACATTATGAGTATGATGTGATTCGTGATCCTCGATTTCAAGTGTCTTCACTTTCTGAATTATGCAAGCTTTTGGTTGCAAGTAGAAGGTCAGAAAATTACATTGTTCTCACTAAATTGATTCGTCTTGTTCTAACACTACCTGTATCTACAGCGACTACTGAACGAGCTTTTTCAGCAATGAAACATGTGAAAACAGCAATTCGTAACAGAATGGAAGATGAGTTTCTTGCTGATTGTATGATACTCTACATTGAACGAGAATTTGCCAAGAAAATAGATATAGATTTTATTATAGACGAATTTTATGTAGTTAAAGCTCGACGGACTCAACTTCAGTAGGTAATGTCGTAATGAAATTTTATGTCGTGTACTTTATAAAATTTTTGCATGTATATTTTAAATTTCAGCCCCCCTCAACATAATTTTCTGGATCCGCCTGCTCTAGTTTGTTAGGAACATTTTTTTGTGTTCAAGTTATTATAGGAGACACAAAGCTTACTCTAGAACAGAAACGAATGCAAGCAATCCCATGTCAGATAGTATCCATGATTTACATATCAAGCATAATTTACTAACTAGGCTTATCAAACGTATCATACAAGACTTCAATTCATAACCAAAAAACATAAAGGTACACCGAACATAATTTATGCCAAATTAAGAATCGATTACATAGACATGGAGTTTGACTGCTACAACATAAGCCCTTTACTCAATTACATAGATGTAACAGATTCATGTAGATCTTCCCTTTCCTTTCTCGCTCTCCTCTGTTGCTCCTTTTTCCTTGCGGAACGTTATATTGATGGATATCCCAAGCCTTCTTGTTCTGTTCTTTGTTGGGCATTTCGACAAGTTGTGCCCAGGCTTTCTATGCCTTCGTCATTGATGTCATTTTGGGAGCGGAGTTTACCTGGTGGCAATAGACAAGTTTTGTAACAAATGGATAGAGATCTCTGAGAAGATTTCACAACATCAAGAGGAACGTATGAAATGTCTGCTAAAAAGCATAAATAAACCAGTCAAATTGCATTTACATTTTTCAACAAGTACTTGCAATTCTGCCAATATAAATTTACACCTACTATTGTAATAAACATCATGAATTGAGAATTTCAAATCTCCAGTCTTCATGCAGTCACTGAAAAGGTAAAGCCTTGCGTTATTGTCCTCGAACATGTAACATAGCAACAGTTTCATTTCTTTATATTTCTTACTAGAAATTCCTTCCACACCTTACCACCTTCAGTCTACGTCCAAAGTCTCGATTCAATTCTCCACGCCCATATTAAATACCCACCGACTTCTGTATTTGACAATATAAAAACTTTTTTTTTCCCCATAAATCACATTCCAATAGGAAAATCAAATACATAAATCAACAGCCCCTTTTCTAACAATAAAAAGGCAAAATCAGGAGATGATTTTAACAGCCTTCAATGTAATTACCTTCAGTCAAGTGGACTTCATATTCGATCAAAGTAACCACAAAAGCTGAAACTTTCATTATTACTGTCTTTGGGCGGAAGTGGATTCAAACTTCATTTGACACAAACCTAAAGATGGATTTTCGAAATGGATTTGGGGTTATGGCTTGGGACATGTTTTTGGGTTTTGCCAATTCTTGCGATTTTCCCGTACAGACGTGAAGAATGAAATGGATTTCGGGGTTAGGGATTGGGTTTTTTCGGAAATGATAAGGCGTATTTTATTTGATAATGACAAGGCATGTGAGGATCCACTTATCCTCACTTCAGTATTTAATTGTTCACCTAGATTTTCTGTTATCTACGCGGACAGATGCATTTGACAAGAGAGTAATATTGCTAGCAGTCGCTCGTTGCAGCAATCGTTCTACGTGACATACATATAATAAATAGCTATTTGATGTATGATTCAATAAAAAATTATCATATTTATTCATCAAATAATCACATGACAAATGTATGTTACGTATAGCGATTATCGAAGTGAGCGTCGTGAATAGCATTATTGTTGACAAAATTCATTCGGTGGGTAATTGAGTGCAACTAATATATCTTCAACGGCTAATGGGATAATGGATGACGAAAGTTCGGTGGCCAATTAAAAATTTAACTCCAGGATTTTTGGACCACTGAATCATTTGACAAAACGTTCTTACCCAAACTATCCACTTCCAAATAATTCTCCACCCTCCCATTTCCGAGCCGCATTTTCCCTTTTCCTTTTCGGACCCTCTTCTCAGAAAATTCATGCAAAATTAAATCAATCAATTTTTTCTGGAAAGAATTAAAATCCACTTTAAGTCGTTAATTTTGTTTTCCCCATTCGATTTTGTGTATCACATCGGGTTAGATTTTTATTTCTGTTGAAATTGATATGTTTTTAATTTGATTTTTGTGTTTGATTAATATTGATTGTTAATGGATGAATGTGTTTAGGTGGTGGATTATTGATCGATTAGATGACAAGTCAAGGAGGGTCATCAAGGAAAAGCATATCGTTGACCAGCTCCTCGTCGCGGGTGAGGAAATCAGCCGCTGAGAATGGAGGCGGCGGAGGAGCTGGCGACTCCTCCTCATCTCACCGAAAGTCTATTTCTACTTCTCGTTCTATGTAAGTTATGCAAATAGAAGCGAAGCTTTTTTTACATATGCTATGTATATATAAGATATTTCTGTAAATTACATTTTGATTTTGCATGAAGTGGTTGAAGGTTTTGGCTGTATAAGATTATCTTATATCAGTATTCAATATAAGATTATCTTATATCAGTATTCAAGGAGAACACTTTTATCCATGTTATGGTTTTATGGTTTTATACTTTCGTTTTTTTTAAATTTTGTGCCACATTACAGCTTAACATAATAACTTAATTGTGCTGCCTAATTTTGTGTTTTCGATGTTGTTTATTCATATTTCCATTGGTTACATTTACCACCTTGTTCACATCTCAGTTTTGATATTTAGGGATTTGTTAGAATCGAGGGAAACACAATAATTGGAGAATTTGATTATAACGTGGTTAATAAGTACAAGAAAAATAGAGGACAAGTATTTAAATTTTATTTCAACTTCTTTCTTTTTCTTATAGAGGTGCCTCCTCCAGTCCTCCTCCAACAATGCTATCTGAACACACCCAAGAAATCAAGCAGTGAAAATTTCTATAGCTATGGTGTGAGAAATTTAGAAAAAAAGGGATGAATGGCAAGGCAATGATGATGTTCAGTTGTCATTAATTCTATTCAGAACTTTTTCGCTCACAAAAAGAAATTTATAACAAGCACACGCTTATGAAGTTGATTCCATAATGTGTGGTATTATGGTTAATCTTTAATGTGTGGTAGG